TTGTGTTGAGGACGACAACAGAATCCTAACAAACACTCGGCTAAATGACCAAGTGTTGGTAATGGTAAACTCAAATCTTAATGCTTTTGTGAATACTTTGTTACATTTTACCTTTTGTATAGAAGTACATCTAAAAAAACAAAACCTTAAAGAGACAATCAGTAGTTTGTACTTTTAGTCCTTGGAAATACAGTGGTCCCTCGCTACTTCGCGGTTCGTTTATCGCGGATTCATGACTTCGCGGATTTTTTCTTTGGAGCCTTATTCGCAGATTCGCGGTATTTTTCACCGATTCGCGGTATTTTTCTGTGCGAAATATCAAGAAATTCCTGTTTTTTTAAATCAATTTCATCATAAAATGCACTTTTGTTCATTTGAAACTAGCATGTAAGATGGGCTGTGATTTGTTCCAATGGTGACAGATGATGAATCAGCTGATCAGCTCCCAAGTTTTGTAATGTCGCCTGTGATTGGTGTTTTGACCTTTTCTCCGACCCCCAACAGCTTCCCTGGTCGCGGAGCCTCGGGCATCTTCTCGCGGTCCTCGTTCACTTTGTCTCGCGCTCTCTCTGTACGTAGATGTTTATATTAGCAGTGTGTGTTTGAACTCGAACTTTTTTTTGAACTTGTTTAACCCCTACAATGGCTCCCAAGCGTTCTGCTTCTGCTAAAGCTGCTACTGAGCCTAAACGCAAACGGAAAATGATGATGCTTGCTGAGAAGGTGACACTTCTGGATATGTTACATGAAAGCAGAAGTTACGCGGCAGTAGCTCGCCATTTTGGAGTGAATGAGTCCACCATTCGCTACATTAAGAAAGGATGAGGCGAAGATTAGAAAGACGGCTAGCATCACCTTTAGCAAGTCAGCTAAGCGAGTTGTTACGGCTCGTAATAAAGCGATCGTCAGTATGGAAGGTGCTTTGTCATCATCATTCAAGTTTTTCTTCAACTTCTTTCATGGTGAGTACAGTAACAATCTTTATTTTTTTACATACTTTAATATTCTAACATTTTAATATTAGTGCCTGTTTTAGATTAAGTGATCTGTACATTAAAGGATGGTTTGTTAACAGTACTATGTGAAGGGAGGGTTTTAAAAGTCTGAATACTGAATACGTACCTGTTAAATAAATACTGTAAATATGGTGTCCCTACTTCGTGGATTTTCACCTATCGCGGCCAGGTCTGGAACGCATCCACCGCGATAAACAAGGGATCACTGTATCCATCAAAACATTGTTGGAAATGAATAAAATTATGTCCAGTTGTTGAAAAATATTGGTGGCTTCTTACCATATAAAAATAAAAATCTGGCCTAAAGTACATAAAATGCGGGTCTAGCCTCTTTGAGGGATGCCATGTTTCCTTCTGGCTAGCTTGGGGTCCTGCGCCTGTCGATGACATCGCACCAGATCACTGGCTGAACATACAACTTTTGGAAGTAACGTTACCTTGTTCAAAAACATTTAGGCAGTATGAAACACTAATTTAATAATAAAACTGCTAAATGTTTTCCAAAACATACATAAAAGAATAGATTTGAAAAAGAGATGCGATATATTTTGGCCAAGCGGTATTGCCGTAGTGCGATGACGTCATCGGCAGGCAAACACCCCCGAGCAGATCCAGAAAGTACAGCGCCTGAAAACAACAATTGGCATCGCATTCTCTTATCAAATTACCTGAAGAACCAACGAAGTCTGAGGAGTCACACCAAGGCTGCATTCTTTCTGCTCCACAGGTAACATTTACTGTAATGTGTTTTTAACTAGCAACAATCAGGAAGATGTGGTGTAAAACTACCTTGAAATGTATGCACGTACAGCCCTCTAGTAGCTGGAAACTACACACTGCTACTTTTAAGCGTAAAGACAAGCATTAATGAAGGCAGTGCTACAAACCCATCTGACCGTTACAACGTAGGTGCTAAATCTTAGGTGTGTTCTTGCTGTGTCTTTGTAAATCCATGCTTTCGTTCTTTTTTAAACACAGAAACAGTTTTGTTTACCTGTTTGTAGCTACGGTTTCGCTACATGGTGGCCACCATCAGCGTCAGCCTGAAGAAGCCGGCAGCTGTCGGCGAAACCGTAGCTACAAACAGGTAAACAAAACTGTTTCTGTGTTTAAAAAAGAACGAAAGCATGGATTTACAAAGACACAGCAAGAACACACCTAAGATGTTCAAAGAGAAATACGGACAACAAGGAACGAAGGACTTCCGCCGTTTGGAACGATTACACCAGAAACACGCACGTCTAAGAAACCACCTTCGCTTCTGTTTAAGATGCCGGGACGAAAACATCACACCCACAAGCCTACAGCTGAAAACATCGATCCGGACCCAGACAGCACAAAATATAATAGAAAGAGCACAGAGAGCACTGCTCAAGGAGAGGATAAGGAACGTCATAACCAAACAGAGGCGTGTGGAGGACGAACTGGAAAGAGGACACCTGGACTTGAAAAGGAATTACAAACTTGATAAACAAATGGAGGAACTAATTAAAGGACACATGATGGAAAAACAGGAACAAGAGTTCATAAAAGTGAAAGAAAGACACATAAAGAAGTTAAACAGACTCATAAACAAGAAAAAGAGGGGAGAAATACAAGGCAACTCCACACCAAACTCATGGGTATGTAACATTTCACAATACAAACTAACAGAAGCAGAAGAGAGCATATTAAAGAAAGGTTTAAACTTTGCAGTCACACCAAAAGAAATACCATATGATGAATTTATTGTAGCAACAGAACTAGCATGTCAACAGATCACAGATGAGGGAAAGAAAGCAGAACTCAGAAATAACGTAGTTGGGATATTAAAAAACAGCCAAAATCAACACAGCAATATTACAAAAGAAGAACAATCAGCCATGACAGCTTTATCCAAAAATGAACAGATAATTATTCTACCGGCAGAAAAAGGAAGAACCACAGTAGTTATGGACAGAGAAAAATATAAACAACAGATGAAACAGATGCTAGAAGACAAAAATACATATGAAATACTTAAAAAAGATCCAACAGAAAACATTAAGAAAAACATGAAAAAATTACTGAAGCCACTGCACGAAAAAGGCAAAATAACAGAAAAAATGTACAAACACTGGATTCCTACAGCAAACATAACACCAAGAATATATGGAACACCAAAAATACATAAACAAAACACCCCACTTAGACCAATAGTTGACAGCATAGGTACACCAACATACAACATGGCAAAAGATATCAGCAGAATCATCAGCCCGTTATTAGGAAATACAGACCAACACTGCAAAAATAGCATAGAATTGGCAAAAGAACTAAAGGAAATTACAATAGAAGACAACGACATACTCATCTCACATGACGTCACATCCCTGTTCACAAAAACACCAACCCAAAAAACCATAGACATAGTAGTTAACAGAATCAGACAAGACAAAACTTTACATAAAAGGACAAACCTCACAGCAGATGACATAGCACAACTGATAGGACTAGTAGCTAACTCCACTTACTTCACATACGACAACACTATATACAAACAACTGGAAGGCTTCGCCATGGGTAACCCGTTATCAGCCACCCTGTGCGAGTTTTTCATGGAAGACCTGGAACAAAAAGCCATAGCCACCGCCCCCCCAAACTGCAAAATAAAACTATGGAAACGCTACGTAGACGACATACTGGAAATCATACCAAAAGGTCAAACAGAAACACTAACACAACACTTAAACAATATTGACGACACGGGCAACATAAAATTCACTTATGAGTTAGAAACAGAAGGCAGCATAGCATTTATGCACATGAAAATCACCAGGCAGACCGACGGGACCCTAAACATGAACACATACAGGAAACCAACACACACAGACCAATATCTATTATGGACATCAGAACACCCCACCATACACAACATGTCAGTAATCAGAACATTATATCACCGAGCAAACATAATAACAGAAGAGAGAGACCGTAAACAAGAGGACAAACACATACAACACGCTTTAAAGACCTGCGCATACCCGACATGGGCAATAAACAAAGGAAAACAACAAACAAAAACAGAAAGCAAAGAACAACCCAAAAAAAGAACCAGAAACCCAGAAAGACAAGAACCAAAACCAGTGATAACCCTACCATACATCAGAGGCATAACGGAAAAAATAAGAGCAACAATGAAAAAACACAACATAAACACACCAACAAAGCCATACACAACAGTTAGAAACAGACTAGTACACCCAAAAGACAAAATATCAGCTGGACAAAAATGTGGAGTCATCTACGAAATCCCATGCAAAATATGCAATAAAACATACATAGGAGAAACCGGACGCCAACTCAACACACGGACAATAGAACACAGAAAGGAGTGCGAGAAAGAGGCAAATCGAAAACACACAAGAGCAGCAAAAGAAGAAGCAGAAAGTACAATAAAAAAGTCAGCCGTAACAGATCATTGCTTAAGAGAAAACCATATAATGGACTGGGACAGCACACGGATCATAACCACTGAACAACAAAAATACAAAAGATGGATCAAGGAAGCAATAGAGATAAGGAGACGTGGATGTGGGACCATGAACAGGGACGACGGAGTTTACACGCTGGACCACGCATGGACTGCATCGTCGGAGAGGGGAGAGCGGGCAGTAGAGGGCGACAACGTCCTCTGCTGCCCGCAGATAAACGGAGAAGGAAGTGACGCGCCACCATCAGCGTCAGCCTGAAGAAGCCGGCAGCTGTCGGCGAAACCGTAGCTACAAACAGGTAAACAAAACTGTTTCTGTGTTTAAAAAAGAACGAAAGCATGGTAGGTGCTAAATGTTCCCCAATTTCATGCATCTTTCTTCAAAGTGATGCAAGTTTGCAAACATTTGCTTTAATACTCCGGGAAAATGAAAAGCAACTTTGTGCAGTTAAAGATTACAACAATTGCACATGTGGTACTTTCTACAGGGCTCATGAACAGTGTGAATGTGTGTGTGTGTGTAGCTCCCTTACCACCAGGTCAGGATCCTGCATGAGGCCCAGAATAAGCTCATAGAGCAAAGGTCGGAGGTCAGATTTGAACTTGACAGAGATCCACTGCCCTATTAACCAGATGACTCGTCTACGAATCAACTTGTACCTGGAGAAGAGAGGGAAACAATGAAGTTTTAGTAAAGGTGATATTTAATCAAAATTCCTGTAATTTGAAGTGAAAATTAAAAAAATAATTATTCTCTTAATATTTATTTTATACATGAAAGAGGGGATGTACTTTATACTTTAATATACTACTCTCTGAATATTCTTGTATTTATGTGAGTGCCACTAGGGATGTGTATTGGTGAAATTCTGGTGATACGATATGCATCACGATGCAGGGGAGACAATATGATATATTACGACATATTGCGATACATTAGGCCAGACGATATTAGCGATTTCTTTAGACTGAATTTATTGTAGGAAAATTCAATAAATATCCCATAGGAATACATAACATGTTTAACATGAGATATCTGAACCATGATACATTACATTTACATTTCAATGGTGGAAGCAATACCCATTGCACACTGCTGCATTCTAGTGGTCGGCGTTTGAATTGCACCAAAAGAAAAGAAAATATTTGCATGTAAATTCTTCCAAATATTCGATACACAGCTTTTGAATATCAATATAACATCACAGGAAAATATATCACAATATGTTGCCATATTGATATTTTCTTACATCCCTAAGAGACGTAGCCTGGCAAGCCAGACTAAATAAATGTATTATTTAGTCTGGCCATGCTCCATTGACGGCTCTCGGTTGTGGGGCGGGTTCTACCGTTGTCTTTCAAATGATCTCCGCATTCCACTGGACAATGAATGTGACATACTCTTGTTTCACTCTGTTGCATCATCCCACCCACCAGGCATATAGAGTGCCCTGATTGGCCCACAAAGCGGATAAAGCTCTGTGATTTGTTCACTAAGCAGATAGAGCACTATGACTGGCCCACCATTATGGACCAATCACAGCTCTTTATGTGTTTGAAACCCCTCTAGAGAGCTGTGATTGGCCAGCCAGAGTCCTGGTAGGAGCTGCTGACGTTCCAATGGAGCGTGCCTAGACCAAACATTGCAAAGCAAGAATTTGGTCTAGTTCACTAGGCTATAAGAGACTATCTAACAATTATACAGCAAATTAAAGACCCTGAGTGTTTCTTTATATGTAATGTAATGCCTTCTTTAAAAAAAAAATAAAAAATAAAAAAAAGAAGCATAGAGATGCATTGAGTTAAAAAAGTCCAGGCTGAGATGTGCTTTAAGATTTAATTTTTACATATTTAAACAAATACATGAGAGCAAAACACAACAAGCCTCGAGGACAGTAAAACCACTGAGCAAAAACGGAGTAAGAGAAATCCTCTTAGAAAGCTGGAAGGTTTAGAGGCACACCTGGGCCTCATAGTGTGTGTTATGAATTCAATTGCCTTGCAGTGTGTGTGTCAGGTAGTGACGGTTTTTCAACAGTTGTTGTCAGCAAGAGTCCCTGGGCATCTGGCCTTTCAGAAACCGATGAAGAGAATGTGTCAAGGGATCATCTGGACAGAAATGATGGGATGGAGGGATAAATGAACAGAAATTTGAAATGATAAAGGATGGGAAATAAAAGTCTTGTTGGCCTCTCGTCAGTCATCCATGGGGAGTCAAGAGACTCAAGTCTATGCAACTAGCCAGAAGACACTAAGTAACAGAACAAGTCAGGGATTAAAGATGGCAGATATAGTAAATTTTTGTTTGAGTCTATGTTGGTGTGTGTTTTCTCATGGATATAGACATATAAAGAAGGCTTTCTTCTCAGCTGCTTCTGAAAACTAATGTTTGGCATGTTGGTATACTAAAAAATACATTAAATATAACTTATTTAAATTAAATGGCAATTATATTACTTAGAGTGAATCTGCATGGAAGCATCAGAGAAGTACAGTTATTAATTTAGATTTAGTGTCACACAATCTCCAAGCAGACGGTGATCTAGTGACATTAATTTGTTTTGAACAGAGACAGCCACCAAAATCCTGGTCTCATTTATTTTCCTACTTTTCAAATTTGAATTAAATATAAGAGCAAGTAAAGCACGTCATAATAGCTTCAAATTCATGGAATTAGACTGATCTCAATAAATAACCTATGATTATGTACCATAATCCTAAATTGCCTGAAAGTTTTGTTACAGAGAAGACCTTTTGTTAAGAGTAAAAACTATTTTCTCTTAATTATTTTTTATTTTTTTGCATTAATTTGCTTTTATAACAAATATCTTAGAGGGGCATTATGGAAGTTTGACAGCCAAAACATGCATAGAAATAATACATTTCTTCTTCATACATTCTCCTGCAATGCCCTGGTCCTGCAGAATGAGCCCTGGCATTTTTACTGCGATTGCCTGTTTTTCTGTAAAATCACAGAAAAAGAGAGCTGCTCGGGTCGAGCAGGCTGCTTCATGCACGTTCACGCTCAGGCATCACCCTCCGAACCGTTCTTTGAACGTAATTTCAGCTGTCATCAGGGATATAAATGGTACAGATACAAAGGACGTCACTGGCGCTTTAGCTCGCATAGTAAAACATCAGACTTACATGCAGAAGACCTGGGTTCGATTCTGGATGTGAACATAGTTTATTTAGAGTCTCTTTTTTACATTAATGGTATATTTTTTTACAGTAAGATGCCAAAATTTTTATTTGAGACTGGCCGAACGCATTGAATTCACAGATAAAAAAGATGTAGGTTCAACTTTCATTTTGGAACAATTTTTCAAGCAAGGGAAGGGAATGATCTGAGCATGCAGGAGGACTGACCCATCATAAACCTTTGTCGGCTGTGCTGAAGAGAAAGGTACAGAACCAAATTATTTTATTAATTAGCTGTGCGTTCTCCTGTCCTCTGTCCTCCAGGCCACAAACACACACACACACACACACACACACACACACACACACACACACACACACACACACACACACAAGGAACTGTCTCAGCTGTTATTTTCGTTAAGGAGTGTGCACGTACAGCATGCATGCCTCGTGCACGAGCCTACTATTGAAGCTGTCGTTACACTTTTGGCCTGAGGGGTCAATCGCGAGCATAAAAATTCAAAAGTCTGTAAAGTCCCTTTAATAATAAATCATATGGACGTAAAAATGTTTTAATTACATCTTATGCTTGTCACTTTGCATTTAACATCATGTTTCAACTTTTCTCGACATATTAGCCCGATCACCATGACAACCCAAAAAATAAAATGACCTGCATTTATGTAGCACCTTCTAAGGTTTTACAACCTCCCAAGACACTTTACACACTGATATTGATGAGTTACAATGTACAAACAGAAGCGAGGCTGGTGTACACAAGCACCACCAGACCCTTCGAACAACACCTGCGGGAAAGGTGGATTTAGTATTTTGCCTAAGGACACAACAACTGCAACAGATTTAGCGGGACTCGAACCTGCAACACAGACATGTATTGTTCTTACCACAGTGGAGAAAGAAGGGTCCCTGCCTTAATCGGTTTATGATCAGTTAAAATGCTGCTGATAAATGAGCTTCCTAACGCTTCACCACAGGTTTGGATCATCTGAGACCGATAAGCAAGTTTTTGAAAGTCAAAGGTGTCTGATGACTTATGTGACATTTGGTCTGAGGATCGATAGGGTCAATTGTAGTGAAGATTAGAGAATAAATATGGTTGGGAAATGTGCACATGATGCTTTAAATAGTTAACTAGATGAAGTTGTAGTTGGCACAATAACATTTGTGAAATTTAACCTAAACTTTGGTAGTAACACTTGTAACGTCTTTGGATTCATGTTGCTTGGCACCATATTATTATTCAATCTCTGTATTTTCATCATCTCAAATGGCAAAAACATTACTTTTCCAAGCTTTACAAAACAAGTATGGTGCATGCGTGCATGACTTTGTCAAATAAGAAATATGTGCTTCAGCTGGAGAGACTCCAGCTCGGACTTTTATTTTCCTGCACTCAAGCAAAATGGAAGCAAAAAAATGGAAAAAGCAAACGGAGGTGAAGGCTGACAGGAGTTTGTGTCCATCAGTCATGGGTCAGACATGAGTCATCCACACTAAACCTGTCCTCCTACATAACATCAATGAGCTGTCAGAATCCCTGCTCATCATTCTGGAAAACACATGGCCAATCCATGGACAAAATACGGGCTAAAGAGACAGCAGATTCCCTGTTTCAATCGAATTTTGAACAGAATGACATTTACTTACACACTAAATTTACATCCAATTTGATCATGCACTCAATTTGTTTTTGGATAAAACAGTAAATGCTACCCTATTTTCCTTTAGCTGAAGTTCCACACATTTTTTTATTTATCTTTAACATTGGAAGAAGCAAAGAAACAATAATGTGTTGATTACTGATAGAAAGAGATCAAACCAAAACCATGAAAATGCTGAAAGTATTGGCCATGCAGGAAAGTGGCTGATTTCTCAAACGCAAAAAGGTCAAAACACAGAAGTCAATGTCAAAATGACTAAGCATTTTTCAGCCTTCTATGATGACAGTAGAATGATGAAACACTAAATCAGTGTCTGTGAAGGTGACACAGAAAGCTCTTGCCACCCTAAGAAGGTCCACCAAGTGCTACTAAGGGCATGTACAGCAACGTCTCTTTCAAGAATGAGTCATGTGCTTGCTTTGAACAAGAACACACATTCAGATTTGAGCGCTTCAAAGTGATAAGCTCCATTTCCGAAATGATCACGTATAAACCTAGAGTAGTAGGCAGAAAAGATGACACAAGAAGCAGAATTAAAACCCAAGCACAATGGTGCACATACAACACAGCACTATGTGGTCATAAGTCAAACACACTACAAGACCTCTGAGGCAGAACTAATGGAGAATTGTTGAGCAAACTAAATGTGTTGTTTGCAGTTGTAGCAAATAAGACAGGCTGTGCTGTTTTTGTTTGTACTCAAATGTAATGTGGATTAATAGTGGAGAGTAGGGTACACTCGTAGCTCAGAACAAGGTGAACCAACAGAAACAGACATCAATTGGAATAATTCTTGACTAATGGAAAGAACAAAATGATTAGTAGACTGTACAA